GTATCTGTTACGCTCTTGGCGCGGGTTAGAAAAACCTCAGGCCAAGCTAGAGAGCGGGCGACCCGCAGCGGGAAGGGAACGGGCTGTGGGCCGCTTCACCTCAGCCGCCGCTTCCCGCTGGCGGATATCTCCCGGTTCCTCACCTCCGACTCCCGCCGCTGGTTGCGGAACGCTTCCCGGCCCTTGGGCACAGCCGGCTTCCCTTTGCCGCCGTTGCCATTGCCGTTGCCGTTGCCATTGTCATTAGCAGGAGAGCCAGCGGGCCCCGGAGCCGCGGGGTCGTCCATGCTGGGAAGGTTCCCTTCAGCGGTTCGCCTCAGCGGCTCCCTACCGCAGCTCCAAGATCTCTGCCCGGGGCGACCCTGCCACAGCGCGCGCCCGGAACCAGGCTCCGCCCCCTAAACTCCGGTTGGCTGTAACTACTCTCTGTGGCCCCGCCCCACGATGCGATTGGCTGATCAGCCAGCTGGAGGTGGGGGGCTCTTTCAAGGAATATTTTTCCCCACGAACCCCCGGCATTTTTACTGCTCTGTTGCTGATAGCCTGGGACTAGTAGACTCCACGTCTTGCTCCACGATTCGAATTCTGGAGCCTGAGCTCAAGGCAGCTTAGCTCCGTGCTACATGCTCCTTTCAGTGCTGTCCAGTCCCACATAGCGGCCTTTTCCTGAGAGCCCTAGTCTCCACCCCTGTTCCAACGCACCTAAGTTTAGGCGTTACCAGAGACCCGGACCCCCCCATCTAGGCTGCTGCGTGCCCCTAACATCCCGCTTTGTCGCAGAGGAGGGTTTGGCCTTCGGGATAGCCTGAGCCACCACACCACAAACTTACCCTCTCTGGAAGCTCTCTGAAGAAAACTCTTGGCGGGGAGAATGGGAGTTGAAATCCCTGGTGCCCTTGAGGGGCTGCTCCCTGTCATCTGTCCCCAACTGTGTGGGCACCTTCTTCGTGGTGCGAATAGATATCAGGATCCCACCCTCACCCGATATTCTTTTTTCCCCTTTCTAAAACAATCCTAATCTAAGCTTAAAATCTTGAGTTCGATTCCCGGGACCTCACATGGTGGAAGGAGATAATGAATAGCCAAACGTTGTACTCTGACACCTGATCTCCAAACAGGTTCCTTGGCGCCCTCCCCCATTCCCACAAATACAAACGAATACATATTTAAATTAAGAAGAAAAAAATAACCCTACACCTTAAGAGCTAAAGGTAACCGGAAGGTAACCGGACAGTTGAAGACTGTGGGTTTGGTCCTCTTCTGATAATATTTAAATATATTGGCAGGTATGGCTTGGATGAAAGGAATGCGAGGGACCAAATCGCTACAGTAACCCATGGCTTTAAGACAGTGAAAGGATCATTGAGTTGGGACTGTGACATGCATTGCAAGTGTTTTCTGGACACCACACCTCTTTCTGACAGGTTATTTTTCACGCATCCATTTTTTAAAATTTATTTTTATTTATTTTATTTTTTTTACTGATGAGGAAATCCTGAAGCGTAGAGAACACCAAAGTATTATATTGAGTCTTGTCTCGGGGTAGTAAGTATGCCGCTCTATAGAAGAAACTTCCGTTCTCTTGGTTTACTACAGTCTCTGCGTTTCAATTGCTGTGATAAAATCCATGATCAAAAGTAACTTGGGTAGGAGAGGGTTTGTTTCATCTGATAGCCTACAGTTAGTAGTTCATTACCTAGGGAAGCAGAAGCTGCGGAGGAATGCTGCTTACTGGCTTGTCCCTCCTTGCTTTTTCAACCTTTTTCATACACCTCAGTGGTGGCACTGCTTACTGCGAGCCAGGCCCTTCCACACCAACCAGCAACCAGGAAAATGCCCCATAAACTTGAACACAGGTCAGTCTGCTGGGGTGATTTCTTCAATGGAAATTCCCTCTTCCAAAATGACTCAGCTGGTGTCAAGTTCACACAAAAAATAAGCCAGCACAGTTACTGCTTTTTAAGATGATCCTTTCTTCTCTAGTTTTTTTTTCCCTTGACCCTCCTTATTAGAAGGTATTAGGTGTGTTGCTATTAAACCAACTTTGCTGGAATCCCAAACTGTAGTATTATATTCTCTTCAAACAATAAAATTATTTGTCCTTTCCTATATCTTAGGGATAATTCCGTTCTTTTTAGACGTGGTCTCACATTGTAGCCTAGAATAGCCTAGAACTATGTAGCCTAGCCAGGCCTCCAACTCATGGTAACACTCCTTTATCCACGAGTACTGAGATTCCAGACATGAGACATTGTACATATCTTAACCCCATTTCTTTAAAGAAATGTATTACTTATTTATGTATATGAGTGTTTTGTCTGTGCACCAAATGCTTTCTGGTGCCCATGGAGGCTAGAAGAGGGAGTTAGATGTTCTGGGTTAGGAGCCACCATCTCAGGTTCTCTGCAAAAGAAAATTGTGGTTTTAACCACTGAGCCATCTCCCCAAGCCCTCAACTTTCTTTCTTCCTTTCCTTTCTGTTAGTTGGCAGGTGGTAGGGGGAGGGGGACATCAACCAAGACTATATTCCTTGGAAATTTCTGGGTACTTTTCATGGTCCCCAACATTTCACCCGTCCTCCATTCCCACTCCTACTCCATTGTGGATGTAAGCTTCTTTGGAGGGCCACACTTCATTGTGATTTTTTTGTTTATTTTTTCTTGAGTCACAGTCTCATGTAGCTCAGGCTGGCTTAAAACATGATTTAGCTGAAGATGACTTTGAACTCCTGATCTTCCTTTCTCCACAGTTCTGGGATTACAGGAGTGCACCGCTGTGCCCGGTTCTTCATGGGCTTTTGCATACCACATTTCTGTATATACAACACAGGGGTTCACAATCTATGGGCTATGAACAGAAAAATTATTTATGGTAGAGTGTCCATATGTTTTAAGCTGTTCAGTAGAGCTTTTGGTTGTCCCCAGAAGATGCCAGTAGCATTTTTCTCTCAGTTATGACAACCAAAAATGTCTTTAAACACTGCAATCTGTCCCCTGGGGAGCAAAAAAATCTCCTGTTGTAATACCTTGGCTTTGTAAATAAGCTCATGTGAATTTCTGAGAAAGTCTTTGGCTCAAGGCACAAACTATTTGATTTTTTTCGGGGCATAATTTATTAAAACTCTTAAAAATGTACAATCTACATTAAAATTCACAATCCATGCCGAGTTTATCCTTGCTTTAGTGTGACACGCTTGCTATACATAGCACAGCCCATTGGGTTTCTTACTAAAGAGTTGTCTATCTCTCCTGTACCTGTTGTCTTATGCAGTCAGTGACACTTAGGATTTTAGGAATAGTCCCAGAAATGTTTCTCCTGTGAATCCAGCCAGTCAGTAACATCCTTACAGGATCTCATTTTGAGGCCTTCCTTTTCCTGCTTATCCCTAGGACATAGGGAAAAGAGCAACGACTGATGTGTTTGGAGTAGGACTGAGGTCCTCTTACCATGGCTTCTATATAAAGGCAACTGCTGAGCCTAGAGCTCCATCTGGCTTTGCTTTCAGAGATGGGACTTGAAAATTTGAAGATTTCAAAGAATCAGAATGTAATCTTTGTCTAGTGAACGGTAAAGCAGCAAAGACTGGATATCTATCTGCTCAGTATAAGCCCAGATGGATGTTCAGAACTTTTCATGAAGAAGGTGTCTGGGGAAAAAACTGAAGTTGTAAGAAACTTCAATCAACTGAAAACTCTGAAACTGTAGGTCATTCAGCTTATTTACCAAGGAGTAACAATCATGAATACCCATGACCACAGAAGCAACCAGAAGTGCAGATAATGGGAGAAGTGGGAGATAATGTCAGGCTGGTCTATGCTGCCAGTATTTTAAAATCTGTACTACCAGAGCTGGTATAGATGGATCAGTTGTTAACAGCACATGATGCTCTGCCAGAGGACCCGAGTTCAGTTTCCAGCACCTACCAGGTGGCTCACAACCACCTGTAGGTAGTTCTGGCTTCCACAGGCACCTGCACTCATATGTACACACCCATACACAGATACCTAACTTAAAACCTTTAAATGATAATTAAAAAAACCCACAACACTATACTACCAAATTCCCTTGTCAGGTTTTTACTTCCCAACTTGGGCTTCTGATGGAAGGTTGATGGTAAAAATAGGAATAATTAGAGATAAATACACTTCTTTCTCCATTTAAGCATGCTAATTTACAAAGGTAAAATACTTCATTAA